ATGGACAGTAGTATTATAATGTTAATGCTGCTGACAAATACATACTAATACATTTAATAATTGTGAAAAAAACATAATGAATATTATCAATTTAAGTGCTAGGCACTATAAAGCACACGTTGCAAATACGCATGGTGATATTTCATACCTATAATCAGTTAAAGCGAAAATGGTTATGATAATTACAAAGATATTAACAAATTCATCATCATCGTCATCACATCATTGTGATGATGATGAAACATGTAATGGTAGTGATAACAGTAACGATAATAAAGATGATAATACTTATGGTGACAAAAGTAATGATAGTGGTAATGATGATGATGAAAATTATAATGATGTTAATTATGATAATTATTATAATGACGGTGATGATGAGGATGAGGATGATAATACTAATAATAATAATAATAATGATAATAATAATAATAATAATAATAATAATAATAATAATAATAATAATAATGATAATAATAATAATAATGATAATAATAATAATACTAATGATAATAATAGTAATAATAATAATAATAATAATAATAATAATAATAACAATAATAATAATAATAATAATAATAATAATAATAATAATAATAATAATAATAATAGTAGTAATAATAATAATAATAATAATAATAATAATAATAATAATAATAATAGTAACAATAATAATGATAATGACAACAATGAGGATAATAATAATAATGTGAATGATAATAATGATAAAAATGATAACAATAACAATAATAATGATGATGGTAATAATAATGATAATGATAATAACTGAAAAATCATAATATTATTATTATTATTATTATTATAATCAATGTTTTTATTATAATAATAATAGTAACAATAACAATAATAATAATAATAGTAATAATAAAATAATAATAATAATAATAATAATAATAATAATAATAATAATAATAATAATAGTAGTAGTAGTAGTAGTAGTAGTAATAATAATAATAATAATAATAATAATAATAATATGAATTAATAAAGGCAGCAACTGTATGGGTTGGAGAACAGCTAGGGTTAAAGAAGACGGAATTTAGAGCTAAGAAAGCTCCTTGGTGGAAACGCCGCATTGAAGATGATATTACAAGAACAAGGAAAGATGTAAACATATTAGCGAGAGAGTTAAGAGGCAAGCTCAAGCACAAGAAAAGTGAAAAATTGCAGAGAGACTGGAAGAGAAATAAGAAGGGTATTAAAACTGTCGTTGAAGAATTGAAACAAAGGATGATTGCCAAAAGTGCAAAAATTAAAAGATACGATCAAAGGATTAACCAGTTCAGACAAAATCGAATATTTAGTGTTGACCAGAATTTTTTTTACAAGGAATTGAATGGAGGTGAAATTAGAACAAACGAGGTACCAGATGCTGAGGAGAGTAGAAGGTTTTGTGGTGATATTTGGTCAGTTGAGAAGGAACATAACAAAGGTGCAGAGTGGCTGTCTGAGTTAAAGTATGAAGTTAAAGGGAAACACTCACAGGAAGCGGTCAATATAAGTATCGAAAGTGTCAGAAAACAAGCTAAGAAAATTCCAAACTGGAAGTGTCCTGGCAAAGATGTTGTCCAGGGATATTGGATCAAAAACCTGACTAACATGCATGACAGAATTGCTGATCAACTAAATAACATTTTGATGGGAACGGATACCCTTCCCAAGTGGTTAACACATGGAAGGACAGTGTTGTGCCAAAAGGATCCCAGGAAAGGGAATGCAGTTGAGAACTATAGGCCGATAACGTGCCTTCCACTGATGTGGAAACTGGTGGCAGGAATCATAGCTGATCAAATGTACGATTACCTAGAAAGAGAATATCTACTACCTGATGAACAAAAAGGTTGCAGGCGAAGGAGCCGGGGTACAAAAGATCAGTTATTGATTGACAAAACAACCCTGAAGGATTGCAAGAAAAGGTACACTAATCTGGCTATGGCGGGGATAGACTATAAGAAAGCTTGTGACTTTGTTCCCCATAGTTGGATTAGTGAGTGTATGGAAATGTTTGGAGTTTTTGCAAAGAAGCATGTTGCAGTGGAAGTTGTCCTTAACTTCCAATGGAGAGGAACTTGGCGATGTGGATGTTAAAAGAGGGATATTCCAAGGAGATACGTTGTCACCATTGTTATTTGTCTTAAGCATGATACCATTATCATCATTACTCAGAAAGGTAAATGTATGCTATGAGTGGGGGGAAAAGGAGTATAAACTTAATCACTTACTCTTTATGGATGATTTGAAACTATATTCCAAGAGTGAAGAACAGATAGATTCCCTAATACAGACTACTCACATTTTTAGTACTGATATAGGTATGGAATTTGGAATCAAGAAATGTGGAGTTCTAGTCCTAAAAAGAGGGAAGATTGTAAGATGTGAGGGCATAGAATTACCGAATGATGAGATAATAAAAGAAGTGGGACAAGAAGGATATACTTATCTGGGTATTGTGGAATTAGATAAGGTGAAGGAGAAGTAAATGAAAGAGAAAACAATAAAAGAGTATAAGCGACGGTTGAGGTTAATTCTAAAGTCCAAGCTGAATGGGAGAAACAAGATAACTGCAATTAATACCTGGGCAGTAGCAATATTCAGATATGGAGCAGGAATAATAAGCTGGAGAGAGAGTGAACTGAAAAGTATCGATAGAAAGACAAGAAAAAACCTGACCATGTATGGTGCCATGCACCCAAAGAGTGATGTAGACAGACTATATATGAAAAGGAAGGAAGGAGGTCGTGGCCTTATCAGTGTGGAGCATTGTGTAAAAGGAGAAGAAAACAGCCTAGGTTTTTATGTGGCAAACTCAGAAGAGTTGTTGATCAGGAATCATACAGAAAGAGGAAACTATGGAGAAGGAAGAATTCAAAAGGAGAAATGCAGAAGAGCTCAAGCAAAAATGGATAGGAAAGACAATGTATGGGCAATTTGTTAGAGAGATGCCAGAAAAGGTAGACAGGGTTAAATCTTGGGAATGGCTGTCAAGGAGTGATTTGAAGGTTGGAACGGAAGCTCTTCTGTGTGCTGCACAAGAGCAAGCAATAAGGACCAACTACGTGAAGCACTATATAGATATGAGCAGCGACAGTCCACTGTGTAGAATGTGTGGTAAACGAGGTGAAAGCATACAACATATTGTTTCAGAGTGCGAGAAATTAGCCCAGAAAGAATACAAAAGGCGTCACGATAACGTGGCAAAGAAAATGCACTGGGATTTGTGTAGGAAACACGGGCTTGAGCATTCCGATAAGTGGTATGAACACATTCTAGAAGGTGTTGTTGATAATGAGGCTGTGAAAATTCTGTGGGATATCAACGTACAATGTGATAACGTCATTCAGGCAAGAAGACCAGATGTTATAGTAATTCAAAAGGAAAAGAAAGAGGCTCTGATTGTTGACATTGCTGTACCTGCGGATACGAGGATTACAGAAAAAGAGTTAGAGAAGGTAATAAAGTACCAAGATCTGAAAATGGAAATAAAAAGGTTGTGGGAACTGTGATGTGCAAAAGTTATTCCAGTAGTGATTGGTGCCCTCGGAAGCGTTACAAAAGATCTTGAACGTTGGATTGAAAATATGGACATGGTGCCTGAGGTTGGAGTGTTGCAGAAGACTGCGTTATTGGGGACGGCAAGGATACTGAGAAAAGTGCTGGAATTTTAGAGGAGAAGGAAACCTGTTAGCCTTTAATCATTTGTTGTGACTCGCCTAACAGGAAGAAAAACGGCAATAAGACCAGCCAGTGCAGAAATGCTTAAAATCCCATAATAATAATAATAATAGTAATAATAATAATAACAATAGTAATAGTAATGATAATAATGATAATAATATTGATAATAATAATGATAACAATAATAGTAATAATGATGTTGATAATGATAATGATAATAATAATAACAACAACAATAGTAATGGTGAAAATATTATGTTATTATATAGTAATATTATATAGTAATAATGATAAAGATAATGAAGATATGGCAATAACAACAATAATAACAGTTATACTTTACTGGCAAGAGGAAGTGACCGAGAAAAGGTGAACGAAGCAGAACATCTTCCCGGAGCTCGTTATACAACATCAGTTTTCACGAAAATCTCTTTCATTACTTTATATTTACACCTTTTCCTCCTTCGTTCCGAAAAAAAAAATCATCACCACTCTTATTGTGATCTGCATATGCATACACATACACGTTTATCTACCTGTCTATAATGTAATGTATATGTCTGTGTACATGTGTGTGTGTGTGTATGTAATATTATATGCCTCTATATTATCAAGAATTATCATCCGAATGAAGCAGAGCGGTGGACGTGGTTTCCGTCTCTTCGAATATTCCGGAAGCAATTCTCTTCCGAAGTTGTGTTTTGCGTTCCACTGACAGACTAGGACATGGAAAGGCCCCGTTTTAGAGCCAGGCGAAGACTGAAAGGTAAAGATTTCATAAGATTGGTATAATTATAGATATTTTTGTTTGTCCGAGTACGTATTGTTCCTGTGGTTCTTGAATTCTTTATCTTTCTAAAAAGGCAGTTTGCCAGTTTGAGTGTGCAGGGTCATTTGGTCGTTTTTTTTTATCTTTACTGATCCCTACACGACCAGTCAACAAAGAATTTCTTCTCCAAAACAATACTGAACTTCACGCACGGATACCTGCGGCTGCCGAACGATTTTGCCGATGACTGCCACAGTGTCTCATGGAAAATTTGGTAAATAAAAAAAGCAAACGTATTTTCCCATTTATGTCTGGTTTTCATTTTTATTTTTTTATATCGATTTGTTGCACTTTTTTCATATAAGAATGCAATGACATCCCTCTCTCTATTGACTCTTTTCCACTTCTTTGCTAATTTCTTTTACGAATAACACAAACTGCACATATAACGCTCTTACGTAAACAACTCCCTCGTAAAATAAGAAACAAACTAAGGTGAAATACAGTTTCCTTTGACCTTGCTCTCAGGGTTTTTTCCATTCATGATCAGACAGCGACGTGACACGACTGAGAAAACAACCGTTGCAATGCATAGTTTACAATCACACAACGTAGAAATTCGCTGAAACTACGCTGAACTAGTAGTTACTTTCGTATGATATATCATATTTATTTAAAAAAAGCATCAGAGGCGTCATTTTGTATTATTTCATCAGACGCTGGTCACGTGATGCAATGAATTTAATAATCTTTATATGACACAAAAGATGACACTATATTCGTTAGAAAGCAATTACGTAATATGACAAAGATGTTTTCATTCCATAAGAAAATCTTATTTATATTTATTGGACATCAGTATAAATATGTTGCGTAAAGGGTGACCTGTATAAGTGACCTGCATACACACACGCGCGTGCACAAACACACACATATAGATATATATAATCATGTATGTATGTATGTATATGTGTATATTCAAATATGTTTATGTATATGTATATATACATATATATATGTGTATGTGTGTGTGTGTGTGTGTGTGTGTGTGTGATAGATAGATAGATATGATAGCTATATATATACATACATGCATATGTATGTATATATATATATATATATATATATATATATATATATATATATATATATATATATATACATATATATATATATATATGCATGTACTTATATATACAGGCATACACACATGCGCACATCTTTCAACTTGCTAGGACCTCTAAGCGAATCAAGCCCGCTTGCCGCAGTTCGACAAAGGAAGTTATTCAACCACCAGCACGCGCAGCACGACTCCTTCGGCGCGCGACCGCCACGTGCAGCCTCACAGAAACTCCCACCTCGGGTTCACGCTTGGGGCCATCGTGGGCGCCGCCTCGTCACCGGGCGATCTGCTGCGTGTGGGCTTTTCCTCTGATGTTCGTGTTTTTTTCGCTATGTGTTTTCCTTGAGGTCGTCTTATGGAGTATCTGACTCTTCATTGTAGTTTTAATTTTCTTCCTGTAACATGCTGATCTTATCAAGTATTACAGAAGGCAATGAATAAAAAAGTTTCCAAAATATATAATCCATTACTGAAACCCTTGTTTTCGCGTACTTGTTGGCTAATTTCCCTGATATTTCACAATGTACTGAATCAAAAACGTTACAGTCGACGTAAGGGTCACAAATAACTCACCACTTTAACAATGGTCATTGAAAGAGGAAGGCCATAGAGGCGTGATTCTCAGGAGGGGGCTAAGTGGCTATTTGGGAAGGATTTACACATTTAGGGAGAGGAACGTTTTTGTCAATGAAGAAACTGAGATCAAATGTACTATGTACCTGTGTCCTCGTAAATGTGTGTGAACTAACAGGGAAGAGTTCCTATATAATGACAATAACGAATCAATATTCATGGATTTCTTCGTTGATGAATTATTTTTACTTAGTGAACTTACGAGAAGTAAAACCGCTTCAAGCCGAATGTTAAGTAGCGCCACATACAGTCTTCATTTCAGTGTTTCGACTCGTGTCCGTACAAAGAGCCAGTAACAATGCCAGGTGATATCGCTGTTTTATGTGTCATCTGTGGACACGTGAAACAACAGTGAGTATGAAAAATGTCGGACATCTGAAAAGGGTTGTGCAGAAACATTCCGAAAAGCAACTGCGGTAATCCAGGATGACATTTTACCCATATGTGTCGCCTGTAGTATGCATATGTAGTCTTTGAAGCAGAAATATTTTCTTCGTCTGGAGAATTGCAAAAGACACTCTGGTGAATTTTATACATGAAAATTTCAATTTGGATCCATGAAAAAAAAAATGTGCCTCACAAATGAGAGAGAGTCTTAAATTAAGGCTTCCGCCTGATTGGCAAATTCTGTGAAGCTAATAAGCTAAAAAAAAAAAAAAAAAAAAAAAAAAAAAATGAGAACTGAATTATTATTCTGCCTGTGTTTCGTCCGTCCTTGCGTCCGTTCGCACGTTACACTTAGATTTTACGCCTGGAATCACATTCCATATAAGTGACTCACATTACTTAACTTGAAATCAGTTCCTTTTGTGTAAAATTGGTTAATAACTGACACGAATATTAAAGAATGACGCGCGCGCACATCTAATGAGAATCTTATTAAAATTTTATTACCAGTATAGTTATAGTTTTATCATTGTTATTATTATTATTATACCTCTTCTTCGTGTCAATTACACTGCACTGAATTAGTTATTCCCTTATGTTATGCACATTCATCATTTACCGACTATCCGTGATGGGGGAGGGGGTAAGAAGGAAGGTTGGAGGGGAAGGGGAAAGGAAGGGGGAGGAGAAAGGGAGGGGAAGAGGGCTTAACAAGAAAAGGGGAAATGGAGAAGCTGGAATAGAGGGGAAACGGAGGGGACGTAAAGAGGAAGAGGGGATGGGTAAGGGGAAAAGAAGAGTGGACCCAGAGAAAAGAGGGGGATGAGAGAGGAAGGGAGGGGGATAAGTACGTGAAGGTGTGGGAGTTGGAATGGGCAAAGGTAGAGAGACA